GCACAGCCCAAGGCATTGCCATGGCCCCATAGCACCCCGCAGCTCCATGGGGTGCACAGCCCAAGGCATTGCCATGGCCCCATAGCACCCTGCAGCTCCATGGGGCACAGTCCAAGGCATTGCCATGGCCCCATAGCACCCTGCAGCACTGCCCCACTACCTGAGCCAGCGTGCCCGCAGGCAGCGGCAGGCAGGCTGGCCTGAGTGACGCAGCTCCATGCACTGGTGGGGCAGCTCCAGGGTCAGACTACGGCCCTCACCACGTTCCTCCAGCTCCACCGCCATGTTGCAGCACTGCTTGGTCTTGTCCCCACGAGACAGCGCTGTGGGAGGCAGCAGTCAGGGCCCGGTGGTGGCATGGAAGCTGATGGGATGTGGGTGGGCTGGGGTCTCACCATCACAGCTGTCCTGGCCTGGCACGGTGCCTTGCAGGGGGAAAAAACCCAGCATCAGCTCTCACTCTGATGGGGGAGATGGGTGCCAGCTCGAAGCGAGCACATGGACATCCCCCAGCCCCTCCTGGCTGTCCCAGTGCCGCCCAGCCCCATCCCACCCAGCCGGCACTCACCAGGGAACAACAGCAGCAGAAGAACCGTGCTCAGGTGTGTGAGCTCCATGCTCCGTCCAGGGTCTCCCGTCCCACAGCCCTGCTCTTCTGCAGGCTCCCCAGGGGCTCACAGCTTCTCCTGAGGCAACCGCAGTGTCCTCATTTCCTTTCTGCAACCCCCTTCCTGTGGGTTGCCATGTAAACTCCTGCCTTCAGCTTGATGCCAACCACGATTAGCGGTCGGAGCTGCTTCGCCTCCCCAACGACCTCCGGGCTTTTGTTTTTCCTTCCCATCTCACCCCATCCTGCCCAACCCCACTGTGCCAACGAACAGCAAGGCATACGTTGGAGTGTTTCACTGTTAGCTAAGCCTGTGCCACCCATGGGCATGACCAAAGGAGGGACCCCAAAGGACAGCTCACCAGCAGCAGAGACCCCGAGGAGACACACTCAGAGTGGGTATGACTTTAATGGGCACAGGTCTGACGTGCGAGCGCAATCATTCAACGTTTACACCATACAAAAATAGAGAAACATTCAACAAAATAACAAAAATAGATTATTTCAGCTGCTAGAGGGTGTCCCCGTGGCTGTTATTCTGTATTCACCTGGGAAGGGCCCTATCGGTGGCCACAAGCAAGGGCTGGAGACGGGGTCTTTCCCACCTGCTGGCCCTGGGGCAGTTGAAGGGACATCGGGAAGCACAGAGGGTCCCTGCCCCATGCCGCAGCCCTATGCATCCCTCTGCCCTGCCCCGTCCCTGCAGGAGCAGGCAGGCAGGGATGGGGACACCCAGATACTCGGGGGGATGCAGTGATGGGGAATATGGGGCCAGCGGAGGCGAGGGGCTGAGGGTCCCCGCCGTGGGTCCCTGAACTCCCAGCGGGTGCAGTAGCAAAGCGACCACCCTCTGCCAGGCAGCCCCACGGCACAGCCAGCACGGGGCTCAGCCGGGGTGGCTCTGGCTGCTGTTGGGCTGTAGCTTCACGCTGTCAGAGCTGCACTGGAAGTCAGAAGACTTTTTTGCCTGCAGCACCATGGTCCAGTACCAGAGAAAGATGAGAAAACCTGGGAGAGGAGGGAGAAAAGGTGGGTGAATCCCTCTGAGGGACCATCAGCAGCTGAGAGTGAGGCACTGGTTTGCCAGTGGGCCAGATCCTCTCATACCCACCCACTGCCTGACCTATCCCACCCAGAGCCCCAGGGCAGCTCATGCCCTTTGGAGGAGCCCAGTGCCCCAGGATCACCTTGGAGTGAGTTGACGATGGTGAAGATGTAGAGGGAGACGAGGCGGAAAACACCGGAGGTGAAGGAGAAGAACACCAGTGCCCATGGAATGCCCAGAAGGATGCTCAGCCCAAAGAGGGCCAGCACATGCTTGAGCTTGTGACCTTTCTTGTTCTGCCGGAGGATCTCCCGGACCATGGCCCCCAGCATGACCAAGTTGAAGAGGAACACCACGCTGAAGAATCCCAGGTTCACCACATTATGGATCAGGGGGCTCGTGAGCCAGCAGCTAGAGGGAGGAGAAAGGCAGAGGGTTATGCCGTGTGATCCCATGGGGGCACAAGGCAGAGCGTTTGGAGGGAGTACGCAGTAAAACACGCAGTGGGGATCCCACCCTACAAAGCCCCGGGTAAGGCACAGCCTGTGGGCTAAGGAAAACCTATAGGATGTGGTGGAGGCTCAACCAGATGACTTTAAGACCAGTTTCCTTTGACTTACATGGTTGCATTGGTGGACCTTCCACCAACAGATTCATAGACAGGAATGTAGAAGGGGCCGTAGTTGGTCCAATTAGCCAGGAAGATCAACATCACACAAAAGAAGGGAAGTCCTGTGTGTCAAGAACAGAATGAAGCAGCCACCCTCAACTCTGACCCAATAGACCTTCTGGAAGAACTCCTTCCCCTTTTTCCTTGTATGGTGTTTGAAGAACCTCCTCTCCTTGGGGTGAACCGAGGATGGAACGTGCAATGAGGACCCCTGGTGTAAGCCCTGGCTGAGAAGCAGGCTTGTGATGCACAGACCCACATGGGGATCTCACAGGGCATTGGAATTTTAGGCCACCAAAGATCACAATATTGCCCTACCATACCCTCCTTTCCAAAGCAAAGCAAGGATGTGTGAACATCTCCTGCCCCAAGCCCATCTGTATGGACAGCCCTGGGTGTCTCTGCTCTCAGACAACTCTTCCAACACGTCTCCATCTCTATCCAGGCACCACATACGGTGGAGAAGACTCAGGAGCAGAATCCATGTGCCTGATCACCCCACTGCCCTGCCCCTCGGGGGTCTCTGCCTCCTCAGTCCTCACCCCAGCCCACCAGGCAGAGCTTGAGGAGGAAGTGGTCATGGTAGGCGTTGAAGACTTCGATCACAAGCCGGTAGAGATTGTAGCCCTCGATGCCCATCCAGGTGAGGCAGCTGAGGAGGGAGAAGTGCAGGAAAAGCCCCCCGGCTCTGCAGGCCACCTGACTGCTGCTGGAAGCCAAGTGCTCCGAGATGAGGAAGGTGAAGTCCAGGAGGAAGATGGCACCCAGCAGGTTCATGTGGATGTGCATGCTTGTGATCTGGTCTCGCTGCTTGCTCCTGGAGAACCGAGGGGAAGAGAACTCAGCATCACACCTGGCCAGCATCCTCAGTGCCCCCAAAACACCCTGCGGTGTCACGCTGGTTCCTGTTTGCCAGATCCGTGACAATCACCAAGCTGATTTCCCCAGTCATTGAAAACTGCAGGTGTTTTTGAGCGCCCTGCAGGAAACCTGGCCAAGGCAATGGTTTCTGGAAAGGAGCACTCTACTTTCTTCCAACCTGGCTCCTTCACTGTGCTTCTAGCTGTGCCACCCAGTGGGAAGAGAGCACCCAACCCATACCTGAAGTAGAGAAAAAAGATGGTGGAGATGGATGCCAAAGCTGAGATGAGGCAGCCTATGTACGTGATGATGCTCAGGGAGTCCCTGTGCAGGTAGGAAATCTCTGGAGATGACACCTGGGGAGAAAGAGGAATGAGAAACAGTGAGGGAACAGTGGGGAGGACGGAGAGAGCTGAGGGAAGGTGGTACCCACCATCAGCACGGCAAAGTAGGTGAGGTGGTTGCATCTGCAGTCTGTCCGTGTGTCCCCCTCCACTGTCGTGCAACCATAGCTGTCCCACTTCCCAGAGCTGGCTGCAAGAGAAAGAGAGAGCAGCAGGAACAGCAGCTTTGGGATTTTGGAGCTTCCAAAGCGTCCGTAGCAGTGGGGAGGACAGAGGTTGGGATCCTCCCATCATGGGGAGGGTTCATGGAGCTGGAACAAGGCAGGGAGGTGCAGAACAGCACATCTTTGGTACCTAGCTGAAGGAACAGGGACATCATCTGCACTCCACACCCAAACAGAGATACACTCACCGGTGCCATCCTCCCTCCAGAAGACACACCGTGGGGTCACATTCCTCTGAAATGACAAAACCACAGATGCTCGGGTGCTGTGCAGGGCTCACAGCCTGGGAATGAGGTTCGGTAGGGGCAACATTGGGCAGGAGGTGAGATGGCTGCAGGGGACAGACAGGCCTGTGTGGGCTTAAGGTAGAGACTCCCCAGGCCCCATCTTTAAACGAGGGGTTCAGCTTTGATCAGCTGAATGAATGAGCAGAGAAACTGCTAGACAGTGTTCCCAGGTCTGGAGATTGTGTGGTGAAGCCCCAGAAGATGCCACAGAAAGACCAAGGAAGGACATGGACCCACTGGGTGGCGATCACTCTTCAATCTAACAGTCTCCTTGCCCTCACTCTCTATTCCTGGAGGGATTGGGTGTAATGAGGCTCTTTCCCCACCTACCGGCAGCCGGTTGTGGAAGAAAGTGAGAACCACTGGCTCGGAGAGGTTGGCCACCACCGTGTTCACCAGGGAGATGCCAACCACCTTGTCACCCAGGACGTGGCTGCTGTTCTCATCCTGCAGGAGAAGGAAGTGGTAACACAACAGGAAGGGAGAGGTGCCAGAGGGGAGGTCCTGTGCCTCTCCTTTGTGCTGCAGTTAATCTTTGGAGCACCTAACATCTCTGAAGCAGGGACGGATGCAGGGACACCCATCGTGCCACATGGTGTGGGCATTACCTGGAACATGGCTTGGCTGTTGATGTCCACCAGGAGCACCCTGTGCTCCACCACCTCCTCCTCCTTCTTCTTTGCCATCACAAATAGGCTTCTTGGCAGGTCCACAGCAAACCCCTGCACCTCTCTGCTCTCCTGCAAGGACAGACCCACTGGGATGGAGCTTGGGTGGATGCTGGCGTGTTGCTTTGAGCCCTTCGGGGGCAATGGGGATGAGTGGGGTGCTTAGCCCCAGGGTAACATGGACCCACTTCTTTTGGGGAAGCGAAGGCCAGGTGGCGAGGAGCCTGTGTGGGGCTGATGCTCAGCACAGTCGCACGCAGGGCGGCCTTCCCAAAGGTCTGGTTCTGTCCTCCAAGCTCCACTTGTGCCAGCGTCCTCTCCAAGGCCCCGAGTTTGCTGTAGAAAATATGGTACAGTGATTGGGGCCAGGAAAGCAATTGGGCATGGCTCAGTGAATGCCCCGTGATCACCCAGCCCCACACTCACTGCCGAAGAGAGCGCTGCGCCTTGGAGCCCGCAGATGGCACCCGTGTGAGGAGGCCATCCAGGGCAGCAAGCTCATCCTCCACATCCTGCTTCCAGACAGGCATCATCTCTGGAGGGACTGGTGGCACAAACAGAGGACGGCATCAGGACCACTGGGCAACACCAGCTTCCCCCTGCCCGCAGCCCTGGCGTGACCCCAAGCAAAGGGCTTTGGCGTGACCCTACAGAGATCCCAACCACGGGGCTCCTCCAGGTTCCTGCAGCTTGGTGCTCCTTGCAGAGCTTCCTGGGATTTTATTGGGCTGAAGCACTTTTGGAAATCTCTTTCTTCATCTTTGGGGAGCTGCTTGCCCTTGGATGCCATGGGCTGCTTGAGCCAGTTGCCCTTCCCATCGCCCCTTCCCATGGTCCTGATACCATCACACTACAGCACAGCACCGGGACCAGCACTGGGGATGGAATTAACCCTTATCTAATTGAAATAACACCGAATTGCCTTTACCAGGGAAAAGATATTGAGATGCACTCTCAAGGGAGGTGTTCTTCTGGCCCTTGAAGACATAGGACACATTGAAGATGGAGGCCCTGGTCTTCTCCAAGCCCATCAGCTGTGTGACGCCATCAGCTGGCTCATGGCCCAGGAAGAAGCTCTTCTTCCCATAGGCCAACCAGAGGGTCCTGTTGGCCTTGAACCAGTAGATGCAGAAGCGATACCTGCCCAAGGTGGTTGGCAGGCTGTACTGGTAGGAAGAGTTTGTCCTGTCTGTCAAAAAGG